TTATATATGCGTTTATTAATGTCGTCGATTTTACGGTTGCAATTCGACGTTGATTATACGTCGCGGCGACGTATATACTGTATACGTATAGCCGTATTTTCGCCGTGAATATACGTATATTCTACGAATCACTGCCCACTGGGGGGCCCCTCTACATTACCACAGGTTCTGTTATCTCCCAGAATCACCAATGCACACACAGACCAGCCACAAGCATTTGTATTGTGTAAGTGCCCTTTTATTTTCTAACTATATTCACATTCACTATCACCCAAAAACACAATGAAAACAGCATTCGCAGCAGCAAAAGGTCCTTCCCAGGGTCATAATGAATACAGAGGGGCAGCAGTCTTCCCTGTAAAATACTGAAGAGGGCCACTCAAACGTTTCTACTTAGTACCTGTAGTCTCTGATGGCCCACTTGAAAGAGAGGGGTATTGCCCAGTCCTGTTTTCCCAGTCTCCGTTCAGATAACAATAGAAATCTTCTGGGGCTGTATCACATTCCCCTTAGTTTGAATCGGCTAGCTGTGCCAGTTTCCTCGTTCCTTGCCTTCAGGTGTTAAAGTCTCTGTACAGTACCTCTGTTCCAATGCCAATGTCTCCCGTGGTCGTCAGTTACCGAACCAGTAGTTCCTTGCCTCCAAGTATTAGAAGTCTCTGCACAGTACCTCTGTGGTCTCGCACTCTGCAGCTTCCCTTGTGCTGCTTGTGTCGTCTCCAGGGGTCCAGTGGAAATTCCAAAACCCCTCTGTCCTGTCTCGGGTGTTTTTATCCCTCTCCTTAGCCAATCCCTTTCAGGGGGTTTTCCACTGTCCCTGGCAGAACCGGGCTTGCCCAGTATTTGTCCAGGAGGAAGCTTGTGTTGATTGAGGACTGTGGGGGTGCCGAGCTAGGTGTCATGGGACCTTATCAGTTTATTGTTCACTCTCCGGCTCTCCCTCTTCCTCCCTTGGTCTGGCTAAAACTGGCTCAGCAACTCCTCACACCTCCAAGTCTCAATACCTAACTGTTCCTGCTAGATGGCATTCAGTGGGACAACTGCAGTCGCTCCCCTTGAGTGAGAGGCAACATTGACACCATCCTGGAAATCAACATAACCTAATCAATCCCAGCGACATACTGTAAGTGCCGGTAAATAGGTCTTTAATAACTACTGAGAAATGTGACCCCTCTACTGTATATCATTAGGCATTGTTCCAATGCCCGTTACAGAAGTAAGAAAATACAACTACAGTAGGTGGTCGGTGGAGAGATAGATGTTAGAATTATTCAATATACTAACCTATTACAGTTATTACAGTTATCATTACAGTGACACAACAACAGGAGAAGAAAATGATCTCAAAGTTGTATGGTCCGCGGACCACTTACACCATGTCACAGATGCGGTGGACCACCTACTGTATGCCTACGTCCACTTATTACCCTGTACAAATCATTGCCTGTTAATGTACTAAAAATAACTAATATTTAATTAAATTTGATGAAAAGTACTAATATTTTTACAAACAAAGCTGCGCAACAGAAGGAAAAAGCAGAGGTTATCTGCATCGATTGTGAAGCACTTTACAAAAATGACAGTCACAAGACTGTACACCTGAAGAGGGCTCCACAGCCGAAAGGTTGTGTTTCCTTTCTTCTCTTTTCAGCATGGAATAAACCCGTTACCTGGTACTTTGCAGCTGATGCAGCTCCCTACTTGAAATGTCACAAGACTGGGCTACTTTAGTCGTTTAAAACAAGGAATCTGGATATGCTTGTATATTTCTAATGGAGCGGGTTCGGACTGGCTTCGTCAGTACCTGTATCATTTTAAATCGGGTCGGGCGGGTGCGGGTCAAAAGAAAGCCGACCTGGGCATCACTAACCACAGTAGACTGCTGCAGGGCGGCAAGGACATCGCCGCCAAACTGACTGTCTCGTTTTCAGTGTGTGACATCGTTTCATTCGTGGTGCATAAAAGAAAAACACTGAAGCGATAGGCGCTGTTGGGGAAAATGAAGAGGCGTAGTGGTCCGCCATAACTCAAGCTTCATTAAAACACCAAGGCACCAGAAGGGTACAGTCTGCAGCCCCTCAAGCCAACCAAGCCTACGTCTAGGCTGGTGCTCGCCCCATTACTGACACACACAGTCCCCTTAACGGCTCGTGAAACCCCGATACCTAGAATCAGCACAGAAGTCCCTCCTTCTACTATTTACAGCTTGCAGTTCTTAACAGTGCTCCTAGGGGGAGCCCCTTCGTAGCGGACACTACAATATCCTTTCCTCTGACTTAAACAGCGTAGACTTGCTTTTTAAGAAAGATGATTAGGTCAGACCGCGGACCACCTGGCGCATGCTCCCAGACCAGTGGTGGTCCGCAGACCACACTTTGTGAACCACTGCTCTAGAGTGTAACTCTTGATCAGTGAAAAGAAAGAAGAAAGAAGAAAGAGGAGAAGTAGAAGAAAGGCAAGACATAGTGTGAGAGACACAGCGTGTGAAAACAGTATGTAATACTGAACCTGAATTACCCCTTTTTTTCTACAGACGTAGACGTTTTTTACATTGTTTTTGTTGCAATAATCATGATTCTTTCTGTTTTCATACATAATTGAGAAGGCTGAATTTGTCAGTGTTCTTTTTTTGTAGATTTTGGATAATTGAAGCAGGTCCTGTCTTGGTCTTCCCTGCTCGAGCCTAAAAAGATTCTATTCATTTAACAGGTCAGAGTTGGAAAGTCCTTTTACCTCAGGGTTTATTATTATGAAGCTCAAGCTGAGAACGCTATTGACTTCACATTTGCTTGGAATGGCCAGGGATGATGTGTTTCTCTCCTTGTTCTTTGAGCTTAACCCCATATTAAAGGTCCCCTCACATACCTTACAAGGCAACATGTTTTTTAGATACTTTATCTCAGGGCGGCCCTAGCTTTTTGGGGGCCCTAGGCGAGATCTTGGAAAGGGGCTCTTCCATATCACGATATACACATACACTAGTATTATCCCATCCCACCCTTATTTGACTATTTAGAAGAGTTAAATCCATTAATTGTATAACTAGAAAACCTATTATCCCATACTGTAATAAATAAGTTACTAACAAGAACAATGAGCACAAATTGTATAATGATTTTATAATATAAAGTATTTATACATTGAAAGTAATAAACAGGAACAGTAATAACAATAACAATAAGAAAGACCTCTGTTGCTTCAAAATTATAGCAAATCATAGCTTACAAATGATCGCATTTAACCCTTTGTAGAAAGGAACTGTAGAAATGAATATGTAATTAAGAAATACATGCACTCAATAACAAGGGAGGTGAGGTCAGTAAGACCTAAAACAAAATGTTGGAAAAATCAATTCACCTAGAATTTGGGGAGGCAGAATCATCAATGATAGCTTCATACTGTCACAGACGTCCAAAGGGACTAACCGTGGGGAGCAGGAGAGCGGAAAAAGACCCATATGCGTAGCGGCGAGACGGGAAAAAGGCCCGGGCTCATTAGTGCAAAGAGTTCAGGAATGCCGTATAGAAACCTATGCCCTCAGGGAGCGGACGTGGGGCACCCTGGTGCTAGGCGGGTCTCAGGACATCCGAACGTCAATGCTGAGCGAGGACAGAGTGCAAGACCCGGAAATATATAGCCCAAGGGAAAGAGAGGGACAGGAAGGACAGAAGACCGGAAACTAGGGACAGGACAGAGAAGGAGCGCCCTCTGGCTGCAGAGGGCGTGACACATACGATAGTAGTCGACCCACTGCATGATTGATGCTCATGATGGCCAGTCAACTGAGACGGTGTTGTGCCAGGGATGATCTCGGGTCTGTTTTAATCTTGAGCTTTGAAAAGCTCCTCTCTGCTCCTGCCGCTGTCACTGGGAGACTGACTAAAATCGGAAGGGCTACAGGTTGGGTTCACTATACCATTTTATGAAATACAGGAGAAACCGCATTTTACTGCTAGTTACACATAATCTCTGAACAGTCTTTTGTACAGCACATTCGCTTTCACGCTTTTGTCTGGCCAGCCAGCACCGAGTTTTAGCCAGTTGACCCACGCGGCTTGGGTACAAATATTGGAAACGTGAACTTTCGTTAACTTCTAGTAAAATACCTCCAGTGGTCTACGTGTCTATCTTGAAAATCTGTCTTGTCTATTGTTCGCCAGCTGATCTAGTGGATCCGACAGACTCTAAACAAAATGAAATACAAATTACATTATCATGCATATTATACATTATTCAAATGATTTTGGCGTACCTGTGTTTTGAGATCTCTTATCCCGCTATTCTTTTCTGTGGTTCAGAAACATTATGTATTGATAAGGATAGGTTATTGTTTTAACCGGGTTTCCATTAGGATGATCCAGAGCAGCTGCAGAAAGAGCCACTATATGGAAATTTTCACTTACATTTAAATGTCAGGTTTTACAATGTGTTGTGTTGTACATTGAGGGGGACCCCTGGTGGCCTCAGGGTCCTAGGCAGGCACTGATTTATCTAGGATTTATTTATCTCTTTGAATGAGTGCAATTCAATTGAATTCAATCAACTTTAAGACTTTAAGTAATAACTTTAAACATTCTTACTTACTTGTTAACTCCACATGCAGACACGTAGGAACATTTTTGTGCGGTATGATGTCTGCTGCACAACCTGTACTTATTCAATCATGCATCGTGCTGATTCTTGTCAAGAAACTTGTTGATGGAACCACCATCAGTGCCCATGTTTATTACCCATCTGTTGGCTAGTTTGATATCCCTTGCAATAATAAATCTATATAATATCCTTTGACTTTCTGCTTATCCGATCTTCTATTTTGTGTGAGACCACCATGTTCTGCTCAGCCAAATGCTGGACAGAGATGCATCATTTAAAATATATATGAGAAAGCCAAAAAATGATTAATGTTGTTTGTAAACCACGTTCCCTTTTTTGCTTACAGTGACTAGTGAGCACTGTGGCGAGACCAGAGGTTTACGACAACATGGTCACCGTGCAGTACAACACTTTCACAAAGTGCACAATTTTGTGGTTAATTCGGAATTTGTCAAATTTTACCATAACATTAATGAATGTATTTTGTTACCGAGATTTCATATCCAGTCTGAGAAATTGGGACTGTGGTTCCCCTTTAACTGGATACAATTCCAACTTGCTTCATGTAATGGAAAAGGCAGAATTTTGTCAATATATTTCCTGAAGTTATCTGGCTAACTGAGAAATCTCACTTTGTGAAACAGCCTCCTAATGTTCTCTAACCTGCACATCTCTACAAATGCAGTGGATGCTCACAGACGCATGAGTTATCTGTGTTCCTTCATTGACACTGGTTTACTGGCCTGTATATAGTATAAAATGTTAAATGCCTATGTTGTATTCCATATTGGTATAATTAGTATAAATCATAGCACTTGGATGTTTCTCTTTTGATAGGCACACACAAACAATTAAGAGTTTTACCATTCTGATTGAGTTTAATAAAAAATATATTACATGAAGAGATGGTATAATATTTAATCTGTAACAATATAATTTTGGCATTGAATACTTTACCCTATGCCCTTGTCATACCATATTCATGGGTAACTACTTTCCGTCATGTTATATGGATAGACATCACATCCTGTATTATTAGTTGTGCATGCCTGTTGTAACTTTCCTTCTCCTTTCTTTATAGGTTTAGTCAGATCAGGGGGAAGATTTCTAACAACCTCCAAGGAATCATTTTAGCGGTCATCCTTGTGGTAACAGTTGTCATTGTGCAGGTAACAATGCTGAGGTACCAGAATCTCGTTCCTGAGAATAATTACCAGGACAGACAGAAAGACAGTAAGAGTATGTCCTCCCGGGGACGGGGAGCCTTCTGGATGGAGTATGACAATGGATCGCTCATTGACAACAGCTTGGTCCAAGGATGGGACGTTACAAATGCCAACTGCTCTGCCAACTCCAGCATGGTCAGCATGCCGTGGTTTGCTGGAGTGGGGGAACGTATCCAGCGGTTCCTGTTGTACCGGCACTGTAGGTACTTCCCTATGATCTTTAACCATCCAGAGAAATGCGGAGAAGACATCTATCTCCTGATGGTGGTCAAGTCCGTGATCACACAGTACAAGCGCAGGGAGGCCATCCGCAGGACCTGGGGACAGGAGAAGGAGATCAGGGGCAAGAAGATCAGACTCCTGTTCCTGCTGGGGACAGACTCCAAAGGAGAACAGCAGGCTCACCACCAGAAGCTCCTGGAGTACGAGGACAGGGTGTTTGGGGACATTCTCCAGTGGGACTTTGAAGACAGTTTCTACAACCTCACCCTCAAGGAGGTTGGCTTCCTAAAGTGGTTTTCCATCTATTGTCAAAGCGTGCCATACATCTTCAAGGGAGACGATGATGTCTTTGTAAACACTGACAATATAGTTGAATTTTTGGAACATAGTAACAAGGAAGACTTTATCATTGGAGAGATCTTTAAAAATGCTGCTCCAATCAGAAATGAGAAGAGCAAATACTTTGTCCCAGAAGTGATGTTCAGGGAGACATTTTACCCACCATATTTAGGAGGAGGAGGGTTCCTCATGGGAGGCCCCTTGGCTATGAGGATGTATGGTGTTTCTAATGAGCTGGAAATCTTCCCTATTGATGATGCGTTTATAGGGATGTGTCTCAAAGTGCTCCAGGTCAGCCCCATGCATCACAAGGGCATCAAGACTCGTGGCAAAATAGATTATATTAAAGAAAAGCTGATGAGCAAAGACCCCTGTTTGTATCACAACTTGCTGCTCTTCCATAAGTTGACTCCTGAAAAGCTGATTGTAATGTGGAAATGGGTGAAAAGCAACATCATCTGCCCAAACACAAACCAGAATACAACAGCCTGAAGGGAGAATGAGTTACTTACCCAGCTTTTGGGCAGTAAATATACAAAATAGAAAAATTATTCCTATGGTGTACAATTTTAGCAAATAAAAAATGTTGCTTTATATTGCCTGAATACCTCAGAGGGTTAGATATCTTGCAATAAATGTCAGCTAATAGTAAAGAGAAAAACTAAAATACTATATGTTGATTGTACAAGTATTCGGACAATGTGGCCTCAATAACTTAAAGCTGCCACCATAATGTTACAATGTTGCACCATGCTCAAAGAGATATTATTTAATAATAATAATAATAATTGCTTACACTTATATAGCGCTTTTCTGGACACTCCACTCAAAGTGCTTTACAGGTAATGGGGACTCCCCTCCACCACCACCAATGTGCAGCCCCACCTGGATGATGCGACGGCAGCCACAGTGCACCAGAGCGCTCCCCACACACCAGCTATCAGTGGGGAGGAGAACAGAGTAATGAAGCCAATTCATAGATGGGGATTATGAGGAGGCACTGATTGGTAAGGGCCAATGGGAAATTTGGCCAGGATGCTGGGGTTACACCCCCTACTCTACATCTCATCTGAAGGAAGGTGCCTGTTTACAGTATAATGTCCCCGTCACTATACTGGGGCATTAGGACCCACATGGACCACAGGGTGAGTGCCCCCTGCTGGCCCCACTAACACCTCTTCCAGCAGCAACCTTAGTTGTTCCCAGGAGCTCTCCTATCCAGGTACTGAGCAGGCTCACACCTGCTTAGCTTCAGGGGGTTGCCAGTTGTGAGTTGCAGAGTATATAGCTGCTGGCTAAGGGTCTTTGAAATATTTTATTCTTTTAATTCTGTTCTCCTAATCTGTGCTTTCATACAACTTTCATCTAAGGTAAAAAAAAAGTGCTTTAAAAAAGCACCTTAGTCTTCATGGTTGAAGTCATAATGTATTTAAAATAATACAGCGATTTGTAACAGAAACAGTGAAGAATCAAAAATAGCCAGTTTTTCTTTAAAGTCTGTAAAGCTAGAATAAAGAAAATAGAAAAGATAACATATTCTGTATGGCACTTACAGTATGAATAAATAAACATATTGTTTCAGCTTTAGGTGACTGAGAAGTGTCCCTTAGATTTCAGATAAAGTCTGTGACACTTGGAAGGGTAAACACCTCAAACTTCAAAGGAGAGAGAATGTTTACTGAGGTCTGGGGGTCCCTTGAGCAGAAACAATTGTAAGGTGTACAGTTCCTTAGTAGACCTACTGTAGGTAAGTTGTGGATTAATGATTGCAAAGGAGCAGGACAGAAACAGGCAAGATCATCTTAAGAGCACAAAGAGAGAGGGGTTATATATTTAGTCTTTCCCAATTTTTCCAGAAGCTCATAAATCCGGGGCATAGGATATGCATCAAACTGGGACACTTCATTTAACTTCCTGAAATCGTTGCAAAAATGCCAGGATCTGTTGGGTTTGGGAATCAGAACGATGGGGGTTCACTGGGGGCTAGTACTTTTTTCAACCACATCACAGTCACAGTATTCTCCACAGAAACCTTACAGGTACAGGACAGTAAGGTAGAAGCGCCCTCGTCGGGTGTGTACTCACGCCACGGTTTTAGGCGGTTTACGTGATGGTCAAGGTGAGAGATTTGATCAATTACAGGTCCCATCTGTTCACGAACTTCACAGGGACCCTGCCTTTTAGTGTAAAGCTTGCACCCTGGAGCGGGCAGTAGTGGCATTACGCAGTCTCCTGGCTGAAAGGTACGAAGTTAAGCGGTGCGATTCGAATATTTTTGTTGTCTGTCCCGTGCCTCTCTAAGAAATTGGTCGACGAGAGGTTTTAACTAGAACGGTCTCTCTTTGAAGTTATTTACATGGTCCAGGATGTCAAAGGAATCAGTCTCCCGGGATTCTCGGCAATGTTGAGGTTCTTCAATAGCGGGAAGGAGCTGTAACGGCACGTGTAAGTGGGGCTTCGGGGCTTGAGCAGACAGGCAGGGAAGTTAGTGTAGTAGCGCCTGATGTCAGTGTATATGCCTGGCCACAAGAATCTGTTTAAGATCCTTTCTCGTGTCTTTTCTACCCCGAGATGTCCTCCCAGCAAATGGGAGTGAGCCAGCCACAGTATGAACTGTCGGTGCGTCATGGGGACTAGAGGCCTGATCCGGTTTGGTCCGTTACATGGGTAAAGGAGATCATTCTTAACGATGAAGGTACTTGAACGCTTCTGGCGGCCATCGACGGGTCATCCGGTCAGTCCTACTACCTGGACTCTGGCGTGCGTGAGGGTAGGATCTTCGGCTTGGTCTCGGTGGAATTGAGCTGTCAAAATCGCCATTTCCCAGCTGTCAAGACGATTGGTGCAGATCTAGGAGGGGCAGAATAAGAGGGTTCAGCATTAGGGACGGTATGAGATGATGAGGCAGACTCCTGAAGTGTTGACAGCTGTGCCTGTAATTTGCGCCTGCCGCTGTAGGTTGTTGGTTTCCCTCTGGACACTCACAGACACAGTGAGGGCTTGGGTCTTCCTCCGACAGACTCAACCTGTCTGCCACAGCGACCGCAGTTTAAAGGCAGCCTAACATTGGGTGCCAAATGTAACAGTGTCATGGGTTAGTGGGTCGATACCTTGAGAGGAGGAAGAGAGCCAGTGTATAGTTGACCCTTACACCCAGAGAAGGCTCCACAACCGAAACTTTGTTTTTCCTTTCTTCTCTTTTCAGCATGGAATAAACATTTCCTTGCTCCTTTGCAGGCTGAGTTGCTGGTTTATGGGACCCTCTAGTGTGTGTCACACAAGATGATAATAAAGTGAAAGAGGTCTGCTATGTTGTGTGACATTATCCGAAATTGAATTGATTAATTAGAAGACAAGGTAATTTAACTTGAATGAGACAAGATGAAAGTTTTGTCTTAAGTTTCAGTTTAAGAAACCAGAATTGAGGAGTTAGGGAGCATACTGATTTGAAAGAAAATTAATTAAACTTTAATATGTAAGACAATATATTAACAATGAATTCAGAGCTTAATATATTTACTTCTGACAGTACATAAGAGGTAAAAAGAGCGCTGATATCCTTCAAGCATAATAAGTGGTAAATTACTTTTTTTACAGAAGTTCTAACTTGTTTAAAGCAACTGTCAAAATGTAAAACAGTGTACAGAATCAGGTTTGCACACTTGTGGCACCAGGGTTACATTGCATTCAGAGAGGGGCAAATCCTCTCAGTATTTTTTAGTTTTACAGGTTTATAGGCCTCCAGACATATTGGAGGAGGCATGCAAATCATTTTGTGTTCTTTCATGTGCTACATCTTGAAGAATTTACTTCTTTATGTTATTAAATGTTTTGAAATCAAAGGAAAAATTAAATACCCTCCATACTTCTCTTTTCAGCATGGAATAAACCTATTATTTGTTCCTTTATAATTACAGAGTATTTATGATTTTATTTCATGGCAGAATTGCTAAGAGAGCACTAGTGGTAAGAGACTATGTTTTGGTGAATATAAGACAGGATTTAACCAAGCATATCAATGCATTGTTTTCTGTATTCAACAGAAGAGTCTGATAGTAGATCAGTGTCCACTACAACAGTCCAGCATTCGTTTAGCGGAATAAAGCCACTTCACAGAATAATATTAAGATCTGAGTCTTTTATAAATGGCAAAAATTCACAAATCGTGAATAAAAAGGAGGAATAAAAAAACCAGTCTTCAATCTTGACTGGGTTCTCAAACAGTTCAAACAGTTCCTGAAACAGGCACCACAAGTCAAGAAACCCTACAATGTACTTACTAACCAGTCAAAAATGTACTAAATTTCCCCACAGGTCTGCACACATTCCTCACACTGCGTATAGCCTTTCCCACACCTCTTACAAATTTTGTCTTACCTACACATTGCCTTTACACTCCTAGAACCTTAATAACAACAGCTGTTTATTACAGTAAATTACACACTGTGTTATAAACAGTGTTTCTGCTATAAACAGAAACTCTTACGTCTGTGATTTCTGGAGTCCCGCCTTTAACAGACATAAAAAATACAGACCTCTATAATTTAAACACTAAAACACATTAAAAAGCAAAAAGTGAACCTGTATCCTATTGAACAAAAGTACATCCATCCATCTTCTAACCGTTTTATCTAATACAGGGTTTCGGGGAGCCACAGTGTGTCGCAGCCAGCAATGGGTACATGGCAGGATACACCCTGATGGATGGAGTCCATCACAGGGCACACAAAGACACAGATACACACACTCTAACACCAATGCCAATTTTTCCAGACCCAAATTTCCAGTGTTTAGTCACCACTGATTGAAAGGGGGTAATGAACATGGGTACAAAAGCGCTACTGGGTGTTCACAATGCAGATATTTGAAAAGACAGGAGTCACGGCACAAAGTAAATTCTGCAGATCTTAAGGATCCTTAAAGGGCATGAGTGTGTCTTCACAGGGGTTGAAACAACCTTGTCTCAGGATAGAAACAAGAATGTAGAGGATGCCACTAGAACCAGATATTCCTGAGGGGATTGTTGGGGGCACCAATTTCTGGATTCTGGAGTGTTTGACTGCAGGTATAGGAAGCAGATTAGGGCAGTCAAAAGATTGAATCCTGAAACTGAATTGAATACTCTAGGTCTAGGATGTGATAGAGCCTAACAAACCCTGTGTAATGAAAATCCTCAAACATCAACTTGCTTTTACATTGGTGGACACAGAGCTCATCAGGATAGCGCAGAAGAAGGAGAAAGGTATATAAACAAAGCTAAAAATCAGTAAAAGAACAAAATAAAGTACAGGGGGTGGGCAAAATAATGAAAACACCAAGCAATATATGAATATTAATTAACTAATTAGGAGCTGGGCTGTCCTTTGCCTTCAGAACAGTTGCATTCATTCTTGATATACTGTTACTCAAGTTTGGAACCATCTCTAGTGAGATATTGGACTATTCTTCCATAAGGAAAGTCTCCAGATTTTTGAGAGTTGAAGAAAGTGCAAATCTGTGCCACCGTCTACATTCCAGAACTTCCCATAAAGGTTCCATGATGTAGAGATCTGGTGATTGGGGAGGCCATGGAAGGTATTTGACTTCATCCTGGTGTTCATGAAACCACTGTTGAATACATTTAGCAGTGTGCATTACCACCTTGGAATATGGGAGCATCTTGAAGAAACAATGTTGGCACCATAGGGTGCATGTGGTTGCCTAAAATGGTTTTGTATTTTGTGGCCTTATTTCTACCATGCAGAGTAATAATCAT